AGTACCTTCTATCGAAGAACACATTCGTACCGGACATTGGGTACTCACTAGTCTTCCCGTGGATTCCCCGCCGCCGGCTACTTCTCCAACGAACTATACCGTGGGCACCATTTGTCTCATAGTGGCATCGCTCGGTTTGTTCTCAATCTTCCTCCGCTAAAGCCCCACCATCAAGAGTGTGAGTGAGGGACCCAAGGTGAAGAGTTCTATTTGTTAAACGTGGATTATTATTTCTTAGCCATAACATTACTTTCTCAATTTTATGTTGTTAAATTGAGAGCATCCCGTTAATCTAGTTGTAACCGCATGCCTTACATAACCTCTAATTGATGATTCCGAAGACCTAACTTGGGCTAGCACTAAATCTATAACTAGCAAAGTTTTAATGACCTAATATTAAAATCCCAAGCAGTTCTTGTTTCTTTATATGGTTTCACATCATATTTGATATCAAAGCCAGGGTAGCATGTATTGCATGTGCTAGAAGTTCCTAGGAGTCTAGTTAACCTTTCCAAAATTCGTTTGCATGCATACCATTGCCTAGTTAATCTAGTTAACTGTTTTTCCTTGTTGTCCATTAAATTCCTTCACCGTTTACATCACTTTAGGAAAGTCTATTTCGTTGTTTAAGTCTTGTCCTTGTCACAATAACATCCCTAATTGTCTAGGTTACTTAAACAATCATTATAGCTTGCTGTCCAAACTTTTTCTGCACCAATTAGTGGCCTTTAGGTGAGCCTAACATAGTGTTTAGGTGCTGTCCACACTCTAGAAACCTTCCAAAACACTTAGACAACTTAGGTCTTTGTTGTAGCTTGCTGTCCTGATCATCCCTGCATCATTTAGAGGCATTAGGAGCATATTATCTTAGTGTCTAGGTGCTGTCCCTTACCTCATTTTTTCCCCTAGCATCCCCTAACACCTACCCATGGATCCTGAACATATTCAGGCGACTTTAGACCTCATCGTGGGACAGTTACTCAGCAAATTAGGAACACTTAAAACAGATTTAGCGGACTTTAGACGCCAAATTGGTGAACGCCTAGATAACATGGAACGTTTAGGAAACCCAGCGATCTAAACTCCCTCTAGGCCCCATTCTCCTTACGGTGATGATACCCGAACTGAACATGGACCTCCTAGAGACCACTACCGCCCCAACCATCGACCCAATCAGGAACCTTTAGGGCGCGACATTCCTTGGAGAGATAAAGATGCCCAGTTGCTTAAGAACATCCGTATAGATGCCCCGTCTTTCACTGATTTCGAATAAAAGTGCATCAACTTCCTATCACTTTGTTGATGTTGTACTCAAGGTTAACCGACCTTCGGTTTGTCATGATCGTAAATACTAAATATTGAGAGGAATTAACGCAATGGGCTCCAAAGTTTTTTTAAAAAAAAAGAAGGAAAGTTATGGGAAGTTGGATGCTTATTTTTTATGGTCAAATCCGACCACCTTTTTTGAAGGCCTATAACTTTGTCTCTTACTCCTTGCTTTTGACTACTTATTCTGATGGTAGAGATGTGAGTTTAACTCTAATTTTAAGGATCTTTTAAAAATTGTTATTATTATTTTTCACTTGCATTGAGCTTTGATCGAAATAAACAAGTAGAGTCTGTACCAATTTAGATCAAACTTGAATGAGTTGAGCATATATCAGATCGAACTTAACATATGAACACACTCGCAGACGCACATTCCTATTTTTATGGGTTAAGAAGATATGTTGGAGCAGAAACTTTTCTTAAAAGATAAAAATAGATCAAATTTTGTTGTTTGAACACGAACAATAAATAAATTATTGAGCCAAATTTTGTTCGAATCAAGATCATACAGAGACAACGAATTGCCAAGCTCAACCTTAGATTGAATGGCTTTCATTTAATATTGAGTTGGGTCTTATCTGCTCTAGTTTGGATCATTCACATACCCATATGGTGGTAGGAAAATTAGAGTTCAATGAGTTCATCCAAGCTAAAATTAATACGACATGCAGTTATGAAAATGAATGAAAGGACTCATAAAACTCGACTTCATATGAAATGGATTTGCTGCTTTTGATTATTATGATTTGTTTGAGCTTTGAAATGTACTTAACTTTTTATTTAAACATCTGTAAAATAATTACAGATGATATTGGGAACTGGGGGCAATTCCATTCTCTAGTTATACTAGTAATTTTCAATCCGTTATGTATATACCCTTTATGAAAGTTGGTTAAATTAGATTGTGGTTTCATGTTGGGTAAACTATGTTAGAAAAGAATTTTGTTAATTATGCTTGATGTTGTTGTTTTTGTTCTTTCCGTACCCATTGAATTTTGTTTGGCTAAAATTGAATTTTATTTTTTCCCTAATAAAATATACTTTCTTCTGGGTCATTTAGCATAGAGAGCAAATATTTGTATTTTTGGGATTCAATAGATCGATCACATATAGAAATCCTCTCCCCCGCCTTAGTCCCATCTCATTAGCCATGAATTATGGCATCTTAGATAAAGAAAATAAAAAAAAAAATTAAGACAAATACCGTACTTCCATCTCATTAGCCATGAATTATGGCATCTTAGATAAAGAAAATAAAAAAAAAATTAAGACAAATACCGTACTTCTTTTAACTTCTTTGATGAGTGAGGCAGTTATCGTTAGAATTCAGTTTAATTTAATTGGCCATTTTGGTTTTCAAATTCAGTGAGGGATCAATTCAAGTAATACACCATTCGTCTTCTAGAAGAATGCATGAAACTATCCAGATCTTATGGTGTATTATGAAGTCAAAGTGGCATTATGCTTTATTTAACTTCGTAGAAATTTGATTCTTTAAAGCACCCTAATGAATACATTCAACAAATTAACAGACGACATTTCCTTCTGCGTTTATTGTTTCACCAAGCTTCAGTAAATAAACAATGTCTTATGCGCAGTATATCTAAAATTAGACTTGAGAAGCAGTTTCCTGGCTTGCTTGAGCTTAAAAAAATCTGTGACACCACAGGCCTGTTTCAGAACATATTAGGGGTTCATTTAGCCCCCAGTTTTGCCTGCGGCATGGCAGCATATGCTGTACGAGCATATAACCGGTTTAGCTGTTGTACGAGCATAACCTGTTTAGCTGCGTGTCTGTGTGCAACGGCTCCATTTTTTGTCATGATCAAACATAATACTTTTACACAACTCACCTTGGCCTATTGGTTGAGAGCTTAGGCTTCCAACTAAGAAGTTCTGGGTTTGAGTCTTTGTGTATGCGTTGTGTGTGTGAGTTTGCCTTAAATGGCCTAAATGTTCCAAAAAAACATAAAACTTTTGCCCTAGGTGTGTGAGACTCCGTACCTTTTTTTTTCCTTTAAAATCTGCAGGATGAGATTTTTGTTAGGTATGAGGTTAGACCTTAGCAATAACTTTGGGGCTGTTTGGCAACAAGTAGGATTTAATTTGGAGGGATTTAGTAAATTTTGTAAATCCCGATTTAGTAAATCCTGAGGGTGTTAAATCCTGAAAACTGTTTGGTATGACGTATGTTAAATCCTGATAAATTCTAAGAAGCCGTTTGACAACGTATTCTAGAATTTAAGACGGGTTCATTTACAAATTAAATTTAATGTGCTTTGAATTTAATTTGTGTGTTAACTATGAGCTAGCTTGATTATTTTTAATTATCAAATTAGAACCTGGCTTAATTAATAATTACTTTTTATTTTACTAATTACTAAATCAAACCCATTGATTCAATTTATTTTATCCTAAATTGAGCCAAATTGAACTCTACTGAGCTTAAATAGTCAACCCGATGCAACCCATGCTCAAATTGAGTTCAAATATGATCCATTTAACATATCCAATTCAACTTACACCCAATAGAGCTTTTAAATACCATGTCTTGGCCTTCTAAGGCCTTTCCAAATCACGATCATCCTATCCAAAGGCAGAGAATGCTGAGGACAAGCAGCTGCCGAATATGTGAACCTTCCCCTTACCTTTTTCTTCGATTGTTTGCTCGTCCCATGACATTTGATGCCTTCAAGTGTAGGGAAATTGCACCCAAGCCATCACCTTGCAATTGTTTAGGGGCACGATCAACTTTCCGATCCCGTCCTAGCTTGTATACTTGGATCGGAGGTGACGAAGGGAGCTCGCTTGCTGCGTAAGTAGCCATCTTCGTTACCTCCTTCAGGATGGGAACTAGCTCGCTCGCAATGTCGTAAATTCCATTGTCCGTAAATTCGTAAATCCGCCGAAAGATGGAATTTAGTAAATCCCATATTTACGTCGTAAATCCGGGATTTATGAGGGATTTGAAGTTAATGCATACTTGAAAATTGTTTGGCAGGATTTACTGTAAATTCGGCGTAAATCGTGCTACAAATCTGATACCAAACAGCGTCTCAAGGTCCATATCAATCGAACTATCTAGCACTCACGGACTGTCTTTGGTCTGATTGTGCTTCTAAATTATCTGCCGGTGCTAACTATACTATTTTTCACTACAGTTGTCAGCATCTCATCAGGTTTTTCATGCAGTTTTCTGGTTGGAATGCCGTAGGCTTTTGTTTTGGTCCTCTGCCACCTTGATAATTATTCCTCACCAGCTACCAGCTTCCAAACAGAACCTCGTCTTTTATGAATGTGATTTGATCAGTTTGAAGATATAGTTTTTAGAATCTTTTCCTTTGGATCGCTTCCTTGATATCATTATCATGTTCATTATGGGACATCTACTGGAACCTTTATACCCTGACTTTTATGACCATTTTTATAGCGCTTATGAAGCACTAAGGCTTCGTTTGGGACAACTTTCTTACTGCTTCTTAAAGCAGTTTTTTAGTATAAAAAGTTTATTTATTATACTACAAAGCTACTTTAAGAAGCAATAAGAAAGCCCTCCCAAACAAATCCTAACTCTATATTCATGCCTGCCTTACGTTTCTGTAATCTACCATCCACGGCTTTACCTTTCTGTCATTTTTATATCACTTATGGTATCTGTCTACTCCATACAGGAATTAGAACGAAGAAAGCGCGAACTGGAAGCATTATTGATGGAGGAAAGGGATTCACGTTATGAAATATCATAAAAAATATTTGTGGAAGGCAGGTGATCATCGTCACCTGCTCTAAGAGTTCTCTTCACACCAAATTTCTGTTCTTTAATTTGTAACTGTGATTGTTTTGAGACCTGTGTGATGTTTTGTAAGCTTTTTGTTTCATAGATGCTGTTTCTTGCTCTTTGTAGAACTTTTTTTCTTACCCTTCTGTGAGCTTTCTTTTATGTAAGTTTCTACTGACAAGGCTACTCTGATTTTATTCATTTTTTATTGTTTTTTGTTGCGTCGTGTGATAGATTTATCTCATATTTATTGTATAAGAGAAAATATAGCTCTACTAATGGTGAAATTATTATGTCTGGAGTTCGGACGGAAAGTTTTCGTTCGGACTGTGAGTGCACACAATATGTATAATTTGATTTTTTTATACACAGCGTGTACAAATACTGTGTACGCTCATAGTCTGGACGGAAACTTTCAATGATCATGTGACGTCTATCAGTTCCATGTGAAAATCAATTTACTTCACTTAGAGAATGGTTTGCTTTATAATAGTTAAGTGTATGTTTTACTGTTAAGTATCATTAGTGTAAAGATGTACAATTTTTAAATGTCATGTTTGATTGAAAGAAAAGTAAATATAGAGTATAATAATAGTAAATTTGAAAATTATTATTTAGTTCATTTATAATATATTTCATTTGATTTGAGCTAATTTCTAGTATACTACTTTTTTTTTCAAGCATCCTCAGCAACGAAAAATTTTTACGTGGCGTCAAAATGCGTATGGAGATCAATCTGGATGTGCCATGTAATCTAATGCACTATGCATTTGATGACGTGATTGTCCGAATTAGCCTCCGGATACGTTAGGACACCACATGGAATAATCTTTCCTCAACAACAGCTTTGCTCGTCCTCGTTTTGCCATAACCTCAACTATTGGCCACCTGATGCCTTCAGCATATATGCTGAATTGATTTTATTTTAAATCAATTATAAAAAAAATCTTAAAGGTATATTTTACTTAATCCAACAATTTGAAAATAATTTAATATATTATATATTTTTTATAATATGTATTGTGTATAGAATTAAAAAAATTTAATAATAGATTTGTCCCTAATAAATAAAAGGGAAATTTACATACATACCACTTTATAACATCTTATTTACATATTTAACACCTAAAACTTTAATATTACATGAATACTACCATATATTATTTTAATATCAAATATACCACTTACATTTCTTTTCTACCACTCATATATTTCATTTCTACCACTCATATTTGATATGAAAATGAACTATGGGTGGTATGTATGTAATATTAAAGTTTTAGGTGTTAAATATGTAAATAGCATAGTATTAA